TCTGTGGCACCCACCTCCCCCGGCTCCCGCCCCCAGTGGATCATGGACGTGCTCGTCTGCAACGGGCTGGGCATCTACTGCGGCATGAAGACCCTCGAGTGGCTGTCCCTGAAGACGTACAAGTGGCAGGGCCTCTGGAACATCCCAACCTACAAGTACGTCCCAAGAGCCACCCTGCCCCTCGGGGCCTCGGCGTCCCTGCCGGCCCTTCTCGGGACCACCCCGCCCTGGCCGCCCTCCCTGGGGGAAGTGGTCCAGGAAGAGACCTGGGGGCGGGGGGGGGGGCGGGGCGGTGGCAGTGCCGCCCCAGGTGACAGCCCTGGTTCTAGGGGCAAGATGAAGAGGATCGCCTTCCAGTTCACGCCCTACAGCTGGGTGCGCTTCGAGTGGAAGCCCGCGTCCAGTCTACGCCGCTGGCTGGCCGTGTGCGGCATCGTCCTGGTGGTAAGGCTGACGGCCTCCCGCGCGCGGCCCCCGGGCACCGGGCTCACCCCCACCCTCCTCTGCCCCCAGTTTTTGTTGGCAGAACTGAACACGTTCTACCTGAAGTTCGTGCTGTGGCTGCCCCCCGAGCACTGCCTGGTCCTCCTGCGGCTGGTCTTCTTCGTCAACGTGGGCGGCGTGGCCATGCGGGAGATCTACGACTTCATGGACGACCCGTGAGGGCCGCGGGGGCCGGGGAGGCACGGGAGGAGCCGTGCTGCCGCTCGGGCCGAGCTGGCCTGCACGGCCTCAGCCGACGCCTCCCCCGCAGGAAGCCCCACAAGAAGCTGGGCCAGCAGGCCTGGCTGGTGGCGGCCATCACGGTCACGGAGCTGCTCATCGTGGTCAAGTACGACCCGCAGACGCTCACGCTGTCCCTGCCCTTCTACATCTCCCAGTGCTGGACGCTCGGCTCCGTGCTCGCCCTCACCTGGACCGTCTGGCGCTTCTTCCTGCGGTGAGCCCGCACGCCACGGCCCTGCGCCTCCGGGCCTCTTCCTGGTCGGGTCCGAGGTGCCAGGCCCTGCACGGCTCTGCCCTGCCCGCGCTGGCACCCGCGGGGGGCGCGTCCGCGGGGCAGTGGCAGGGACCTCCAGGGCCCAGCTGGTGGTGACGCGGCCCCCGCTGCCACCAGGGACATCACCCTGAGGTACAAGGAGACCCGGCGGCAGAAGCAGCGGAGCAGGGCCGACGGCAGTGTGGACGGCGGTGTGGACGGGCACGGGCACCCGCCTGGGCCGGACGACTCCTTGGGGCCCGAGGAGGCCGCGAGGGAGGGGGTGCCGGCTCCAAATTGAGAACGGACGCTGCGCCTCAGCCGCGTGGAGCCCGGGCCCGCCGCCCTCCATCTGCTGGGATTCCCGCTGGGCCTCAGCCCTCAAGGTTTTCTTTTCCTTTTCTCCCACATGCACAGTGGGGCCAGGCGTGTGTGTGTGTTCGCGGGGGTGTGCGTGCGGGCGTGTGGGCGTGCGTGCGTGCTCCTGGCTCCTGAGGCTCTGGGGCTCGCCCTGGGCCACGGCCTCCCCTCTCTGCGCAGTCACCCCGCCGGCCTCGTCCGCACTGAGCCTTGGCACCCACTGAGCGGCTCGGCCCGAGCGGCAGCTTCGCGGTGCCCCCTTGGCTCCCTGGACCCTGGCTGCACCCTGCGGGCCCCACGACTCCCCTGGCAGCCCGTGCAAAGGATGATCACCCGGGAGCGCCCTGCGGCCGCTGAGAAAGGGCAGATCCTTCCCTTGGGGGCTTTCACCTGACCTTCCGACCTGGAGGGTGTGCGGCCGGGGCTGGGGGTGGGGTCGGATACTCCAAGGCCAGGCAGCCTGGCGGGTCGTGGGGTCTCCGTGCCCCCAGAGTTGAGCTCATCCCCACGAGCAAACAGAACAAATAAAAGCCACAGTGAAGGTCTGTCGCTCTGCGTCTCCTCGCTGCCCTCTTCCTGTCGCTGCCAAGCCCTGCAAGGTGCCCAGGACCCTGGCTTCCACACACCCCCACTGGAAGGAAGCAGGTGGCCTCTTGCTAACCCGCTGCCCTCACCTCTGCCGTAGCCTGTGCCACCACGGACACCGTCCCCACCCCAGGTGCCCCGCTGTCTCTTGGCTTCTCAGCCTCTGGCTTCCGTGAGCTGACCTCGCTTTGGGGGTGTGTGGCGGGGGTCTCAGTGTGCCCCACCCAGAGGCCCGCCTGCTGCTGTCCCTGCGTCAGCTTTGCTCTGGGCTGACCCACTGCAGGGACACCAGGTGTCCTGTCCGCCCAGCTAGCTCCGCCCGAGGTTCAAGTCACTGGGTTTGTGGTCACTCTGGGTCACAGCCTGCCTCCCTCCCTGTGGGGTGGAGACCCCCGCTGGCTTCTGGGCGAGATGCACGCAGGCCCACGTTGTGCGTCTCCTGCCCAGACCCGAGGGCAGCTGCTTCCTTCCAGTGGGGGTGTTTAGAAGCCAGGGTCCTGGGCACCACGAAGGACTTTTGCAGCGACAGAAGTTACTGCCCAAGGACCAGACCCTTTGAAAGCCACCCAGCGTCTGCTGCTCGATTGTGCTGGTCAGGGCAGGTCACCCCTATGCTGCCCACCTGTGGCACGGTGAGGCCAGCTAGACGGAGGACCCTGCCCTCCCGTCCACGGGGCTCTGGCCTCCACCAGGAACGCGTTCTGGAGCCGGCCACTGACAGGTGCAGCCGCGAGCCGGGAGCTGGGAGCAGCTCCCAGGCGGGTTTCCGGCCCACATGCCAGGCGCCCAGGTGAGCTGCTGACGACCAGAGGCTGCTGTCCCTCTGAGGGCAGGGGGGACGTTCTGGTGCCCCTCAGTGTGGGCAGGACGCCGTCCTCGCAGACCCTGAGGATGTGAACGCCTGTGGGGGGAGGTGGCCTCCAGGACCGCAGGGAGCAGGACCCTGCCAGCACCCAGGTAGCTCGGGCACATCCACGGCCAGGCCTCCCAGAACTCACTCAAAGCTGCTCAGTTTGTGGTTATCGGGCAGCAAGAGCCTCGCGAAAACGTTGCTCCCTCGACACCAGCACCTCGCAGGAACCACAGGGACGGACAAGGACCCCTCTTGCCACAAAAGTGTTTAATGATTATAAAGTGCCTAAAATTCTCTCGCAGAGATAAGTTGATTTGAGCGTTTCTCTCAGTTAAAGCTGGGACACCCCGAGGGGGGAGGCGGGCTGTGCACGGCGGCGCCTCAGGAGATGACCCTCAGGCTGGGCTTGCTCCTCTCCAGGGCCCTCAGGCGGTCCTCCACCTCCTCCGTCCAATAGAGGTCATAGAGGCTGCGGAGGGAGAGGCAGGGTGGGCCGTGCCCGCCCGCGTGCCGGCCCGCCCCCGCCCCCGCCGCCCACTTACACCAGCTGCTCCAAGGCACAACGGGGATGGCAGCTGCCAGCAGCTGCAGGCACCAGGGGGTCCACCATGCAGTTGTGCTCGA